GAGAGAGAGAAAGAGAGAGAGAGAGAAAGAGAGAGAGAGAAAGATACTTATGTGTGAGGAAGAAAATGACATGTAAGTTGATATGCTGATCATGAACTTATCAGCAATTTTTATACTAGTAATACTGATGATAATTTTCAGGTACCTACTTTATTTATGCTATCAAAAGCTCGAATTCGAAATTTAATGCGACAACAAGCAAAGCGTGTACAAAATATATGCAGTATATGGCCACTTATTGATTCCTTGTCAATGTTATCAAACTCTCTCAGGGATTCATTGAAATTACTCGATTCTCTTTGCCTTAATACTGTGTATAGTAAAGATTAATGTCTGAATTTGATTGATTCGATGGGTATAAACATTTTGAAATTTCGAAATATTCAAAAATGATTATCAGATTCATTATTAAAATGTTGACGACCAAGAATTTACTTCAACATTGTTACACTGCGGTACGGTGAGCCAAGTAGGTTTAGTGGAAAGAAGCAGGAGATTTATCACAAAAGAAAATAATGGTAAAGAAAGACAAAGACGTTTGTTCAGAGAAGCACTTGGAGGATTGAAATGGCAATTTTCGTCGTGGGAATAATATTATTGAAAAAAACAACACGTCATGACTATTTTATCAAGAATTGCTGCAAACACATCCTCAGGTCAAAATCCAATCTGTCCTTCTGCAATCCGATATCTGACGTGTAGACATTGAAGTTATTTGTAGGAGCCAGTAAAGTGGTCAGTGATATTTCTTAGGTAAACTATCAGTTTTTTCAGCCTGAAATCCGTTCTCATCTCTTACCTTTCCCTTCTCATCCTTTCTACTATTCACAATTTATCTCGTATTCCTCTTTCCCATTCATCAAAAAATCACGCTTAACCTCTTTTTAACACTACTACTCGACTGGTCTATCAGGTGTGATAACGATATTCCAGTTAGACTATTACTGTTTGAAATTTTTTCTTCAGTTTCATTTTAATCCTAAAAATACTGAATTTGTAATATTTTTTCACACAGCTCTTACGGATAGTGACTGGTGAAATTGAAAAAGTACACCTGCAGGCTTTTTTTTATGTTAAAATTTTGAGAATATGATATGCAAAACTAATTACATCTAATGATACAATTTGCATATTTAAATGTTATAAAAGTGCATTTCGTTTTTTCATTGGGAATGATTAGGATATACAACCGGAAAATAAAATAGGACAGCTTTGAAGTAGAAACCAACAATCTCTTAGCAGCCACAATCCAATAAAATGCCTGAAGCATTTAAGCTTCGTTCATATCTTCAGACTTTTGAGTAGCTCTTTTTTCCTCCTCTTTCCTCTCTTTTTCCTCTTCTTTGTCCTCTTTCATGGCTTCATCTTTCACATGATATAAAGTATTCAATCATTTCTTCATGTCAAAGAATCCTTTACTTTCCTTAAAATTTTTTTTATTTCAATATTTTACTGGTGCATTATTAAAACATTTTTGTTTAACATTTCGAAAAATGGATATTTGCTCGTTTTTTAAGATGAAAATTTTTCTCACTAACCCTTATTATTGTCATATTTGAAACTGTTGAGGGATTTCGCAAACAAATACCGAAAACTGAGGTATTTCCTGATGATATCTATTAAAGCTATAAAGAAATGCAACAAAATATTGTTGTAGGAAGTTTTACTGTTCTACTTGCTATAAAAATTAATTTGCTTACGTAAAATATATTAATGGTAGAATTTTTTGAATAAATTCATATTTAGCTTAGTCATTTCTTAAAATTTTCCATTCTTATTTTTGATTTGTATTAGCCGTCCATGAAACAGAAGTATTTCATGTAATTCAAAGAATTCAAACAGCGCCCTCTAATTTCTAACAGGCATTGTAATTCTGAATTATACGATAATCAACGAAACTTTTTAGAAGTTAGTTATCATTTCGCTATGATGAATAATGAAATATTTTTTAACAAAAAGTCAAATTATGAGATGAATGTAAAAGTGCTACGATTAACACTCATGAAAAAAATATATTAAAAGTAAGAACGTTATATTTTGAATAAAATATAGTATTCTTTCTTAATTTTGAAATTATTGTATTGATTATAGATTGTAAATATCGTAGCACTTTTACATTTATGAGATTGTAAATATCTAGCAAAAATTAAGAAATATTTCAGTAAATTTAACAAGTAAAATTTAAGAAATCTTTAAAATAGAATTCATGAAAATTGTCCGTTGAGATTATTTTAATCATGAATCGTAACTAGCAACAAGAATTTATTCCAAATCAATTCATTTAAATAAAAAATTACTTCTTGAAATATATCAAATGATCAAAATTTTCAGACAGAATATTTTTGGCATCATATTGCAACACAGAATGCACTGCTACATGTAGAATCCCAACAAGCTAATTGCACAGTTGTCGTACTTTTTGCTGCGTACGATAGTCGAACATTTCAAAACTTACTTTTGGCCATCGAATCATCCCCAAAATCTGATCAAGTACTTTGCAACAATTTTTCATTCCCATATTTAAGATAGCGATATTCTTCGTGTCGAGATAATTGAATTTGAAAATTCCATATCAAAAGTCAACAAAGTTTTGGTAAGCCTTAAGGCTATAAAGCTAATAAATTTTTTGACCGCCAATAATATTCTGTTTAAAATTCACTGTTTTTCTTCAAATTTGTGACATATTAAAAGATTTGAAGCTTTAAATGCAAAAAATTTGTATTAAGCAATATCTAAAAGAATAAATCCACTGAAAATTTATTATAGTTTAATTGCTAATAACTTCTTTTAGCCATTTATCATTTGATGTAGATATGGAACTAAACTTCAACTTCTAAAGTTTCCTTGCAGATTATTGTAAAGATAAGATCTCGCTCACAAATATTAAACAATTACGTGTCAAATGTGTTATTGGATGTTAATGGTTGGAATCAAATTATTCTTATTTTGGATGGAAATGCAATGGAATTGTTCCTGAATTGTACCTCAGTTTTACTTATCAACAATATTGATCCCAAATTTCAGTATGGTTTTTCGTTTTTTTTTTACCCAAATAAAGAGCAGAGATAAAATGGATGAAAACAAGAAGAGCGGAGATGAGAAGCTAAGAAGTAAATGGGAAATTCAAACCTTAAACTTTATGTTTATACTTTTGGTTATAACGATATTAGTAGGATTATTCAGTTTTCGTTTTAAACGATGATAATGTAATAGCATAAGCTTTAAAAGTGTTTTAGACACTTATGCGTAAAAACCTTGAGCTTGAAATTTTGAGATGATTTAACTTTTTTAAATTTTAGAAGCTTAACGACAATTAGCTGTTAGAAATTCCTGTGATATGATTAAAATTCCGAAAGGCGGAAAATATTTGTAGTGACAACCATGTTTGGATGGTGTTGAGACAAAATAAGCATAAAAGTAAACAATTGAATGGTGTGATACGCCGATTTAGTGTTGAGTGTAAGGAACGGTTTATCGGTATTGTTCAACTCAAGAATCCTGAAATAATGAAATTGCTGACAGAAATGATATGTTTTCTTTTTTCTTTCAAGTCTGTGAATATTAGATGATTGAGAGAGAGAGAGAATGGGAAAGAATAAAAAGAAACTTTCAGTGCAATAGACGAACTTGTCGTTTTTATTTTAAAAAATTAATAGCATTGGAAGAGTTTCTAAAATACTTCAATTGTTACATTTGGAAGTTATTAACTCGACATCACATTATAGCATTTAAAAAGGATAACGAAAAAGTAAGAAATATAAATTTGATGCTGAAGGAAATTGTGGAGCATATGATTAATCTGGAAACAAATTTGAGCAAATGGTTGGTAGCAATGAATTTGCATGATCAAAGGTTATGAAAAGTTGAATTATATCAAAAGGGTTGTCAAGTTTGTTAATTTTTTAATTGAGCATTTCTTACATCAATCATATTTAAGCTGTAATTTTCAATAACGAATTTTTTTAATTAGATAAAATTATTTTTAATATATACAATATTTGTTCTTTTTTGCTCCATCAAGTAATTTTTATTTTTCTCTAGACGAAAGAGATTTTCTTAATAAATTAACTTCAATCTTCCTCTAAGGAAGTCAAAGTAGAAGTATTTCACAGTGTTCCGGAGACCCTGGTTGCTTTTACAGAATTATTTTCATATATTTGCAAAATTTAAATCGAAGAGCTATAGAATGTGAACATCCTGTTTTACCCTCTGGACAATGTTGTCCAGTTTGCGCTAAAGAGGTTGACTTTTAATAAAATAAATTATGTTGTAAACTCAAAGTCTTGAAAATTTAATTCGAAACTTATAGTAATCAGGTTAACATAGTTATATGTTTCTAAGTTAATAAATTTCACAACAGTATGCTAATTAAGCAAATTAGTATAAATCATTTCATTTTCATTATTTATTAAATCAGTTCTAAAATATTACATTAGTGTATGTTTCTAAGCCGCTAATTAAACATTTTCATTATTCTGGCTAAAGTGTAATTTCAACTGAAAGTAATTAGGAAGTGTTCATTATTTTTTAGTGCTTCTACAATGGACGTAGATGGCAAAATGATCAACAGTATTGGCCTAAAAATTGTGTGAGATGTGTATATGCGACAATGGTAATATGGATTGTCAATTTTTGTTCGTTTTTCATTTATGCTTTATTTTTTTCTATTTTATGATTCTGTTAACATTCTTGAAAAATATTAAAGGCCGCAATCTTATTTCCATAATTGCTTGGAAAAATCTTTTTAATTAGGATGATATTCATATATCTGATACAGAATAATCCTTAATAAAGTAATCGGATCTAAGATGAGCTTTTTTTCATCAATTTCAGACAGTCAGAGA